TCTCTTTTGATTTTATATTGTCGAGGCCGGATTGATTTTGTCTTCAGGAGTTCCGCGGTGGCCCAACTCCAATGTGGATCAGAAGTTTTCAGACTTTCTCCTTAGGTCTGGAATCTTCTAAGAATTCTTTTTCCCTCAGGAACTTGGGTGGCAGTGACCTGAGACCCTGGCCGTGGCTGCGCCACCCAGGGATGCAAAGGCAGATGGGGAGGGAAGAAGCCCCAAGATTTCCCAGGGAGTGGATTGAGTAGCTGGGTTGTACTGGATGCAAAGGATCAGGGAGAGTAAAGGTAAGCCTTGGAGCCCTAGAAAGAGGCTGTCAGCCCCAGAAAGAGGCTGGCGGGTGTTGGAGGACCAGGGAAGTAGAGGGAGATGAGGGCAGGGCCAGGACCAGAAGCGGTGCTCCTGGAGCCCAAGAAAGGGACTGAGTTGCTCTGGGTGAGAAGGATCAGGAAACAGTATTGGTTCCCCAGGTGTCTGGGGCCCCAAGACTAGGAATGGCACAGGGTCCAAGCTAGAGTATAGAATGCCAGGCGGGGGGGCAGGGGGGTGGTGGGTGGGGTGGAAGGGTGAATGAGGCTTAGGGAGTCCCGGCGCGGCGAGCTGCACTATAGACTTACCCCAAGAGGCCTGAGGATAGTAGTGCAGGCTAGGAGAGTTAGCCGGTGGTGCAGGCCCAGGGAAGCAGAGCGAGGTGAGGGCAGGGCCAGGACCAGAAGTGGTGCTCCTGGAGCCCAAGAAAGGGACTGGGTTGCTCTGGGTGAGAAGGGTCAGGAAGCAGTATTGGTTTCCCAGGTGTCTGCGGCCCCAAGACTAGGAGTGGCGCAGGGCTCAAACTAGGAGTATAGAACGACGAGGCGGGGGGATGGAAGGGTGAATGTGGCTTAGGGAGTCCCAGCGCGGAGAGCTGCGCTGTAGACTTACCCCAAGAGGCCTGAGGATAGTAGTGCCATTTTATTTATTTTTATGTGTATGAGTGTATTGCCTACATGTATGTAAGTGCACCCGTGTTGTGCAATGTCCACAGAGGTCAGAAGACAGTGTCAAATTCCCCTGGAACTGGATTTACAGACGATTGTTAGCTGCCTTGTGGGTGCTGGAGAGCTGCGCTGTAGACTTACCCCAAGAGGCCTGAGGATAGTAGTGCCATTTTATTTATTTTTATGTGTATGAGTGTATTGCCTACATGTATGTAAGTGCACCCGTGTTGTGCAATGTCCACAGAGGTCAGAAGACAGTGTCAAATTCCCCTGGAACTGGATTTACAGACGATTGTTAGCTGCCTTGTGGGTGCTGGAAATCAATCCTGAGTCCTCTGCAAGAGCAGCCAGTGCTCTTAACCACAGGACCATCACTCCACCCTCAATTTTTTATGGAAATGGTGAGACAATAATCAGCCATCCAGATGCTGGGAGGTTCATAGCCCCCAAACACAATGCACACAAAGGTACATCCTGTGCACACCTTTAATCCCAGCTCTCGGGAGGCAGAGGCAGGTGGATCCCTGTGAGTTCAAGGCCAGCCTGGTCTACATAGTGAGTTCCAGGACAGCTGGGGCTACAGGGATACCCTTTCTCAAAAAGACCAGAAAAAAAAAGGTACATCCTGGCTATGGTCACACCCTGCAACAAACTGGTTCCCTTCTTTGCCCTCTCTGTTTCAAGTGCTGATACCAGAGGCGGATGCTACCTTCTATAATTTCAAAAAAGTTTCCAAAACTGGCCCTCATGCTCATTTCTCTCTCCCTCCTTTCCCTACTGTTCCCAGAATGTGAAATTCCCAAATTCTGCCTATCTGCCCCCTACCCGCCCTATGCTGTGCCTTCTCCCCCTCTCTGCCCAGGCCCTGCGGTGTCCCCACAGCCCTGTGCAAAGCTCCCTTGCCCGCCGCAGTTCTCATTCCAACCCACAAGGCTAATTACATCTCTGCTTTATTTCAAGTCTTGCTATGGTCCAAGGGTCCTTTGTAAAATCTGGTCCTTAGGGCTGGAGATAATAGCTCAGTGACAAAGTGTTTGCCTGGCATGCATAAAGCCCCAAATACAATCCCCGGCATAGCAAAAAGAAAAAATGTGTCTTGCTCGGCTGATTTGGTCCTTTCTCTGCTCCATTTCTCCAACTGCGCTCTGTCCATGCTGCTTCTGGCTGCTCCTCCCTGATGCCATCCTGTGCCCAATCCCAACTCTTCCTCCATGCTCATGTCTCCTTTTCTTTGGACTCCGCAGCACCAGTCCAATTTTTGTATAGAACTTGTCATTCCATGCAAATACTATGTATATTTGTCCACTGCTTCCTCCAGACCCAGAGCTCCCTGTCCATAGCACAGTCATCCATACGCCTGGTCCCCCAATGTTCAGCATGATATCTGACACAAAGTAGAATTTCACTGTACCTAGGCTGAACAAAAGCAAGGTTTGAGTGTTATTAGTCTTCCTTTCTAGATGCGAGATCTCAAGTCCTCCATAAGCTCTCTGCTTCTTAGAGACCTCCTCTGACCTTCTTAGTCTCAAGACCACAGTTCACAGGAGTATAGCCAGTGTTTATAAGGTCAACATTTCTTCTAATAGTCCCTTCTGGGTAGTGCTATGCCTCCAAATTTATTTCCCTATGTTAGATTCATAAATCCAGGCTCTGTAGCTACAGATGGGCTGATGGTGTAGTACATGCACTAGGCCTTGGGTTTTGTTCCAACATAGAAGAGAGGGAGGGAGGGACGGAGGGAGGGAAGGAGGGAGGGTAGTAAGAAGTTGAAGGGGGAATCCAAAATCTATCCTGTATTTCAGATGTCGAGCATGTTCCAGTGTTGGAAGTGTGTGGTAATGCAGATGATGATCTCAGCTTCTAAATCATAGTGAAAGGAAAGGCCCAGAGCCTTAACTGAGGCTCCACTTTGGCAGCTCCTTGGGTCTCCTCTCCGGTGGGTTTGGCTCAGGCTGAGACCCAGCTGTGACTTTTTGGCAGGTGAAGGAATACAGTATGTCCTACACTTACCTCTTTAATGTGAAGAAAGTCCTTGGCATCGAAGGAGATGGCCGTGCTTGGAACAGGCACATCCTCATCCAGGGCACCGCAGTAGCTCACATTCGTCTTCACAGCAAATGCTACAGGTTTGGACTAGAGACAGAAGTGGAGAATGATGGGGGAGGGAAAGAGGAGGAGAAAGGAGCATTTTTCATACCGAAACATATATGAGTGATAGCTCCAGGCAATAAGGAAATCACTTTCCAAAGAGAGATCTCCACTGGGTTTTACAGTGCTAGGCTGAACCCAGAAGGCTGCAGAGATGAGGAGATGACTCAGTCCTCTCAGCCCAGCCACTTTTTACTCTCTTGTAGTACTTTGAAACATCCTCTCAAAAGAACTATCCTTTAAAGTGTTGGGGAGGGATGGACAGAGGTGGGGATAGGCTCCATTGTACCCAGTCTTAAAAGGAATTTCCTTTAAATACTAACAGATACTGTCCAACTGTGGGGTACAGGAAATGTACACTGGGAGGCTGTGGAGGTGGCCCAGTTGATAAAGTGCTTGTGGCATAAGCATAAGGAATTGAGTTCAGATTCCCAGCACCTATGTGAAATGCTATGTGTGGTGGTGTGCACCTTTAATCCCAACACTGGGGAGGCAGAGACAGGAGGATTCCTGGGGTTAGCTGACCAGTCAAGTCTAGCCAAATTGGTGAGCTCCAGGTTCAGTGAGAGACCCTGTCTTGATAAATGAGGTGAGGAGATATTAGGGAGACACTCAGCACTGACCTCTGGCCTCCATAATTGTACATGTGCATATGCATACCCATGTGCGCACACACATACGAACAGATACACACACAGAAAAACAGGCTAGGAAATGTACACTGAGTGTTAAAAAAAAAGTTGAGGGAGATATAAAATAAGTATTAAGAGCCTTAGATCTGGAAACCTGAGATCATATGTGATAGAAGATCTTGTCCCTCCAGGGAAAAGGGGAGCCAGTGTGGGTTAAACTTGATGAACAGGGCTCTTTATGTATCATCTTCTTTCTAGCCTTAACAGTGGGTTCTGAAACTTGTATGCAGATTCCTTCTGGTAAAGTGTTCCTGCACAGGTGCAGCCTGGGGTGGGGCACTGCTGAACCAGCCACCAGGGTGACCACACAGTAACAAAACAGTTGGTGAAGGAAAACCTTAAAATAAGAATAGCCACATGGCTGGGTATGGCGGCACATGCCTTTAATCCCAGTCCTTGGGCAGCAGAGGCAGGTGGATCTCTGTGAGTTCAAGGCCAGCCTGATCTACATAGTGACGTCCAGTTCAGCTGGGGCTACAGAGAGATCCTGTCTCAAAAAGACAAAGAAGAAGAAGAAGAAGAAGAAGAAGAATGCAGGAAATACACTCATGCACATCAAATAAATATAGTAATTTTTTTACTGTTCTTATGTCATCAAGTACCATATATATGAATATATACCAAAGAAAGATATAGGCAAAACAGAAAGATGATGATGATGAGGAGGAGGAGGAGGAGGAGGAGGAGGAATAATTTGCCACATGTGAGACAGATGATCTCTGAAAGTCTGGGCTGCCCTGCTATTGGTTCATTTATTGCACTGGGGATATGGCTGGGCATAAATTAGAATCTCATTGTGTTCCCTCACAGATGCTACCAGATACCCTCCTATCAGAGAGAACACACAGTGTGTGTGGGAGCAAAGATGCCTCATTGACCCATATCACTCTTCTCTTGCCTCTGCCTAAAAGACTTCATCACAAAATAGAACAGGAAGGAAAGTTATGTGGACTTGAGTCTAAAATTCAGAAAGGCTAGATTAACATGCCAGAGGAATCTGCTATGGAAGCAAGAGGACAGGCTGGCCATGACTCCTGTCTTATATGTTGCTATTGTGCATATAATTTCATTTGACTAAAGGGTCTGTGTTTTTAAAAAAAGAGATAAGTAGGATGGTAGAACTTTAGTGACTCTTCTGGTCCTAAAATTCAACCATGCACTTAGTTCCTTGCTGTGTCCTGTGAGTCCACAGAAAGAGGGAATCTGAAGCCTACTTTGGCAATGATTTCTGTCACTCAGATTTGTTGCACTTGTTTGAGTTATGCAAAGTTCTGAACTTAGCCAAGTCTGAAGGTACACAGATGTAGTTCTGCTATTCTGGAGCCTGAGGCACGACTTACTTAAGCTCGCAAGTTCAAGACCAGCATGGGCAACATAGTGAAACCCCTTCTCAAACAAACATGGAAATCAAGACCATGTTCTGAACTTCATCCTGAACTTGAGGTGGGAAACTGAAACCTAGAAACTGCCTCTTAAACTGTCACCATCACAGCAATATCCTGGAGTGGGTTCCCTTCATCTGCACAGAAGAGTAGAGGAAACAGTAAAAGGCCCCACAGAGCAATGGTGCCAGTGTGGTGTGTAACAAAGGCTATGCATTGTCAAGGAAAAGACTTGGGCTGGCAACTTAGAAGACTCTCTGCCAATCTTGAGTGCGGCGACCTTGACGTACTGCTATGTTGGGAGATGACCAATAATTACCAAATCAAACAGAAAACGGTGCAGGTTCTCAAGAAATGGATCCCTGCAGATATCATTAACCTCTTTTAGGGGCATATGGGCCAGAGAACCTTGCAATCTGAAGCCTGAAGCCTTATCGAGGTGATCAGAAAATGAGTATTCTACAGAGACATGAGGCAGGAGGAGGGCAGCTCACAGTTGCTGAGTAACATGCAGGAAGGGAAGACAGTCACCTTTGCTCTTTCAAGTTGAATAGCTGCTTGCTGTTCTCTCTCCTGCCGAATCGCTTCCCGGTCCTCTTCCAAAGAGACATCGGAGTCAGATGGCCTGCTTGTATAGGAATCTGCTGAACCCTGGGGAAAGAACACAGAATAGCTTAAGTGGGATGCAGCATGGCTTCTTAAACTGCCATCGTCATAACAGTATCCTGGGGTGAGTTTCTTTCATCTGGAAAAGAACTGGACGTACACACTCTGCTTTACTGCAGATATAAATTTAGATGGCAGAATACAGTCAAGTGTCTGAGTTATTTGGAAGGTGGTGATGTTGTGAAGGAAAATATTTTGACTAGACTGAGCTCTAGGAAGTAAACTGTGATGAGAATGAAGTGCTATTCAGTCCTTCGTTCTTATCTTGTACTATCTTTATATTAAGCTGATAATCATTTGGGAAACTGAAATGGCCTCCCATTCTCTCTTGTATATACTATGCATCTAAGGGGGAAAGGAGGCAGGCTAATACAAGGGCTAAATTCCACCTGTGTCTTGGGTCACAGACCATCAGTTTGTCTAAGATTTCAACAGGGCCAAGCAGCATCCTACATTAGTAAAATGATTCTCCAGTTTCAAAGTCAATAGAACTATATTCATTCACTATCAAAACTTCAACTATGGGCCTACAGCAGCCCATACTTATGGTCAGTGTGGACAGTGAGCAGGAAACACCTTGAGAATGAAAACAGGGATGTTCACAACTGAAGTCCATGTCCAGAAGGCTATCTGATCAACAGTAGCATCCCACATGACTGATATCACCAAATGACTGGGGATGCTCAGCACCACTCAGTGCACATGTCACAAGGAGAGATGAAAACTAGAGCAGCTAGATAAAAAGTTATCTACCTACCCCTCACCCAGAAAGGAAAAACCAATGCAGAAGGCTTGCCTTGGGCTGCTCAAGGAACGTCATCCTACAATTTCCTTAAGCTGGCATTAGAACTTGATATTTGTATAGATGATGACATTTACACAGCAGAGGTACTGGGAGACTGGCATATTTGGCATGTTTCATAAAATATAATGGACTATTTTGAAAATCTAGCTACATAATGGAAAATTTGGTATGTACTGCACACATGCAAAAACAAAACAAAAGAATAAAATAAAGAAAGAAACAAAGAAAGAAGAGAGCCAGTCCTGGTGGCACAGATCTATAATCTCATATGCTCAGGAGGCTGGAGGCTGCCAGGCCTACAGAGTGACTTCAAGGCTAGCTTGAGCAATTTAGTGAGACCCTATCTCAAGATAAAGGGCTGGAAATATAGTACATCTCAGAGGAAGAGCACCTGCTTAACATGGGCAAGTCCTGGGCTCCATTCCCAGTATGGAGTTGGAAGAGACAGAAGGAGAGGGAGAGACAGAACTTTAAGAAATGGTAAATTGGGGAAGGGGTGAGATGGTTCATGGATAAGGGTGCTTGCTGCCAAGCCTGACAAGGAGTTCAATCCCCAGAACCACATGGTAGAAGGAGAGAACAGACTCCCTCAAGTTGTCCTCTAACCTCCACAGGCACACACTTCAGTGGCATGTGTCCCCACACATGCCCCCTTAAAAAAGTAAAAAAAAAAAAATGATAGACTATTGAAACTAGTCTGCAAAATTTTTCTGACCCTAGAAACAGTTGCTGTGATTTTGCTGCGGCCTTCAGGGGTAGCTTTGTTTCTCAGCAGAGGACATCATTCTAGCTGGAGTGGTCTTTCTCATCACAGAAAAATCCCACCATGGATTTTCCTGGGATTCTAGAACGGTAACTCCTGATTGGAGGTTATTTTAGATCATCAGGGAAGGTCTGTCTACCTGCTGCGTTTATAATGCACTTCCAAGTCACCAAATCACTTTGAGACAGTTTCCTCTTCTGGAAGAGAAGGACTTATTGTCCACTTCATAGTATAAAATGCAGTAAGATACAGCAGGCAGCTCATACCCACTGAGTGACCCCATCACATGAGCATTACACCAGATGCTTAAAGTCTCTTTAATAGCAGACTGAGCACAGTCAAACCCCACACTTAGTTGTATGTAATATTAAAATACTCTAAATTATCTTTCTCATTTCCATTTACTAATGCTGGCACATACCTATACTGATTTTTTAAAAAAGATTTAAGATATAATCGTTTTTCAAAAATGATTGCTTATATATGTAAAATAGCTCATTTGAACTGTGGTCATTTTTCTTTATTGTATTTCTTATGCAGCGTGTCCAAATCTATGCACTTACGTGATATTTTTGAAAGTGCTCTTCAGAGAGGAAGTGCATTAGTTAACCAAATTTTAATTAAATTCCTCTATGCAAATCTACAAGGAAAAATCTGGACCCACTAAAAGGATAAATGCATGGTGACCTTCACAGGCACACTTATTGTATAAACAAAAGCTACCCTGAATTCCTTTAAAACACCCAAGTCTCTCAGAACACACCTTTCCAAATGTAGGTACACCTGCATAAATTCAGACTAAGAGAGGAGGGGATGATGCTTCTAAAATATCAATAACTGAAAGCAGTCTGGAGTCAGTCCTAGATAATGCTTTGCTGACTGTGGGCTGTGGGGTAGTCCACCTTAAAGTGTTGGACAGGCTTCTCTGAGGACATATGGGTCACAAAGTGACTAGAAAGCATACCCAAGAAGGAGGTACTCTCTGCACTTGAGCATATGTAGTGAGGAAGGCTAGTGCCTGCCTGCTGTTCACAGGCTAGCAGGCTGCCCACTAGAGCAGGGGTGAAAACAGTCTACTCTGGCCACCAGGAGATGGCTTCTATACTGAAGTTTCCTTAGTTGCCTTAATAACTCTTAAATCCTGACATTCAACCATCTCTGGGCATACAAAAATGATTCAAGGACTCCTGAAAATGAACTTTATTTGGAAATGTGGACAAGATTGTAAACATCCCAAAATGAGTTAATAAGCTCTACTATTCCCAAATCCATGGAAGCTTCTGTTTACTTCCTGTTTGTAAGAACACTGGGAGAAGGGGAGCAAGCACTGTGATACCCACTTTCATAACTGCTGTTTCATTAACACATTCATTCTGGATTTTGTATAACATCACATTTCTCTGAGCATGAAAACCATCATGGCTGTCTCCCAAAGTTGGAGAGACAGCAGAAGTTCAACACTAAGAGAACAGATTTGGCTGATGGACATGCTCTACTGGCTGGGTACTGACTTGGTTTCTGGTTTTTATTTATTTTTAAAATTTCAACTGGTCAAAAGAGACTATAAATATGTCCCAGTAAGAAGAGAGGGAGGGAGAGGGAGGGAGAGGGAGGGAGGGAGGAAGGAAGAGAGAGAGAGAGAGAGAGAGAGAGAGAGAGAGAGAGAGAGAGAGAGATTATTTACAAAGAACAAGGCAGCCATAGAAAGGCCAGGAGATGTCTGGTCTGGGCTGGACTAGAAAACAGGCTCAAGAAGGGCAGGGAGCTCCAGCAGGCTTGGTCAGGTTGGGATGATAGAAAGGGGGTTACCCAGAGGTCTGGCTAAATGTTTAATAATTAAGAACAGAAAAATGGTAAGAAGGAAATAATGCCAGATGTTAACAAGACAGAGATGTAAACATGATTAGCCCCTGCCAAAACTAGAAATTGCAGCCCTGTCAGCTTATAATTTTACAGAAATTCAGTGGCTTATAGTATCACACCCTTATAATCCCACCACTCAAGAAGAGGCTGAGGTAGAAAGATTCACAGTTCAAGGTCAGTCTGAACTACATAGAAAGTTCCAGGCCAGGCTGGCCTACACAGTGAGACCTTGTTCCCACCAAAAATTTCCAGAAAATCACTTAATAAAATGAGTAAGGAGTGGACTATGCAATTTATCAAGCGATCTAAGACTGAACTGCTAACCATGTACAAGAGGCATGCAGTGACCAGTCCCTCAGAAGTTCTTAAGCAGATGCCCCTGCAGGTCTTAGAGTTTCCATGGAATCAACCAAACCAACTGCAGCCTTGGAGTCTAGAGTGTGTGTGTGTGTGTGTGTGTGTGTGTGTGTGTGTGTGTGTATGTGTATCTGTATGTATGTATATAAAGCAATTTTAAAAGCCATGAAAGAATACATCTTAGGGACTGGAGAGATGGCTCAGCAGTTAAGAGTGCTGGTTGTTCTTGCAGAGGACCCGGGTTCGATTCCCAGAACCCACATGGCAGCTAACAACTGTCCTTAACTCCAGTTCCAGGGGATCTGACACCCTCTTCTGACTTCCGCAAGCATTGCACAACATGGGTGTGCCTACCTACATGCAGACAATACACTCATACACACAAAATAAAAATAATAAACAGATAAAGAATACATCTTAGCCAAGCACTGTGGAGTGCATCTGTAATCCCATTGATTTGGGATTACAGTCTAGTCAACTAAACAAGATTCTATTTCAAAAAATAATAATACAATAAATGAAAAAATAAAATGTGCATCCTCTTGAACATCAGTGGAAAGAAGCACAAGTCTTTCTATTCACACAAAGCCCAGATTCTGTGTTCAATACTGAGAAAAACATCCTGGCCTCACACTTTTCACAAATCTTCTTAAGTACAAATTAAAGTTGTAAAAGCTGATATGAACAATGGAAAATCAGTTTCTGCTTGCCTCCAGGGAGAAGGAAAATGGCCTCTAGTCACACAAGAAGGGCCTTCCGCTCACAGACATGGCATGCTGCACAGGCAGGTAAGCAACCACGCGTGGGCTTTGGTGCCAGAGTATTGCTTTACATTGTTCCAGTTCCTGATGGCTGTGGTTCCAGCACAGTTTGCTTCCTTTGCAATAGGGGTAATAATGCACCAGTTGCAGCTTCCTGGTGTCTGATTTGAGATGCAACATCATATATTTATCAACATGGAAAAATTCAGGAAATGTAAGCAATTAATCTTTGACTCCTTTCATGAAAGATCTGGCAATAGTAAATTTTTGGTTGTTCCAGGATTCTAGGATATATTATTATTTCTTCTCTTTCTCCCCTTTCTTCTCCTTCCCCCTCCATTTGATTAAACAGCTTTAGGAGCTGGGGGAATGGCGTGGTCAGTAAAATGCTTGCTATACAAACATGAGGATCTGAGCACAGATCCCAGAACCCATG